CTGCCCAGCTCCGCCCCAGCGGCCATTTGCACTCCTCCTCCACCTCCTCCTCCTGCTCCTTCATTATTCTCCTCCTCATCCTCTCCAGCTTTGGGACGATTCGGGGTTCCCTTGGGCCTCATCTCCTCTCCCTCCCTCCTCTTTTTTCCTCTCTCCCCATCCCGCCCCTCGTCTCTTGGGGGAGCCGAAGCGTCCTGAGGATCGGCCTCCATGAGCACCGGGTTGGCCAACCACGCCTTCTGAGTTGGCGGGCAGGGGAGAAGAAGGAAGGGCGGGAGCCGGAAGGAGTGGCGGAAGACGTGGAGAGGAAGACGGGGGAGAATGGCGATGGTAATGGGAAGGGGGAACAGAAGAAGGAAGCAGGAGGAGGGTAAGGAGGGGGAGGAGGGGGAGAAGGGTAATCAGCGAAAGAGGGGAAGGAGGGGGGAGGAGGGGGAGGGGGAGAAGGGGGAGGAGGGTAAGGAGGGGGAGGAGGGGAGGGAACGGGAGGAGGGTAAGGAGGGTAAGGAGGATCATCAGCGACAGAGGGATAAGGCCTCGCGATGCTGCGTGTCGCCCGAGGCGTAGTATCGACTGTGTTCGGGCCGTTGTGTGTGTGTGTGTGCGTGTGTTTTGGTTCGAGCATTTGTGTGTCTTGGTTTGAGCGTTTGTTTATTTATGCTTTCATGTGTGCCATCTCTTTGCTTCCATGCCCCTCTCTCTCTGTCTGTGTCTCGCGAGCTCTCTTTTTCCTCGCTCACGATCGCAATCTCCCCGATCAGCCTACGGGCACACGTAGAGTTGCACACGCATGTATATATATACACATATATATATATAAATCCTTCTACATATGGAATGACAAAGAAACAACACCTACATACATATGTCCTTCTACCTGGTTATATGTATATATATATATACATGTATATATATATATATATATATTCCTTCGACCGGTATATATATATAGAGAGAGAGAGAGAGAGAGAGAGAGAGCGAGAGAGAGAGAGAGAGAGAGAGAATTTTTCCTTCTACCTGCGAAATTACGAAGACCAAGCCCACGAGCCGCCGGCACCCCCCCGTACGAGCAGCCCCGCCGCCTCCCAGCCAGCCCCCCAGAGAAGCCTCCACAAGAGGCACCCACGACGGCCTCGCGGCTGCTCCAAAAGAACGCCCATGGAAGCGTCGCGACGGCCTCAGGCCGAATTCACCGCTGCCCAAAAAGTCGATGACCTTCCTATAACGCCATCGACCGGCCGAAGAGGCCCCCAAGAACCCTCCCTAAGAAAATCGTTGTTTTTCCATTGTGCTGTTCGATGTTTTTGTTTGCCTTCTCGCCTTTCAGGCTTACCGACGCTCCACGACGCCCATGAAGCCCCCAAGGGCGCCCCAAGACGGCACCAAAGGCCTCCAAGGTGGCCCCAAGACGGTCCAAGAGGCGCCCAACAGAGCCCCAGACGGCTCCGAGAAGGCCCCAAAAAGGGTTCAACTGGGCGACCAATAATTCAAACATCTAGCTTCTCGCCCCGACAGGGCCCCAGGAGGCGCCAGGAAGGCACCAAGAGGCCGCTGGCCTATTCCCCCCCTGCTGAAATCGATGGTTGCCTTCTTCAACGAAAACATACGACGTAAGCTGAGATCTTCTTCCTTGAAAGAGGGATCCTTATTGAACGCCTCTACAAAAGGATTCCCCCTTAAAGCCTTGACCAAAGCATTCCTATTGAAATCCTCTACAAAACGATTTCTATTGAAAGCTAATACAGCATGATTCCTGTTGAAAGGCTCTACAAGAGGATTTCTCCTGAAAGCTAATACTAAAGGATTCCAAGTGAAATCCTGTACAACACGATTCCTATTGAAAGTTTCTACAAAAGGATTCCGATTGAAAGCCTCTACAGAAGGATGTCTGTTGAAAGCAAATTCAAAAGGATTCCTTTTGAAAACCCATACAAAAGGATTCCTATTGAAAGCCCTTACACAAGGATTATGACTGAAAGCCTCTACACATGGATTATGGTTGAAGGCCAATGCAAAAGGATGCATATTGAAAGCCTCTACAACAAGATTCCTATTGAAGTCCCTTGCAAAAGGATTCCTGTTGAACGCAAGTGCAAAAGGATTCAGATGGAAAGCAAATACACAAGGATTCATTTTTGAAAGTCCCTACGAAAGGATTCCGAGTGAAAGCCTCTACAAAAAGATTCCTCTTGACATCCTCTACAGAAGGCTTCCTGCTACAAGCTTTTACAAAACAAACATCCCATTGAAATCCTCTACAAAAGGGGTCCTGTTGAAAGTCTGTACCAAAGGATTCCCATTGAACGCCTGTACAAAAGGATTCCGGATGAAACCCCTTGCAGAAGGATTCCTACTAAAAGCCTCTTGAAAAGGATTCCTGCTGAAAACCTCCACACAGGGATTCTCAGTAAAAGCCTCTGCACAAGGATTCCCATCGACAGCTTCTATACAAGGATTCCTATTGAAAGCGTCTACAAGAGGATTTCTATTGAAAGCCACTATTAAAGGATTCCGATTGAAAGCCGCTAAAAAAGGATTCCTCTTGAAAGCCTTTTTCAAAAGGATTAAAAATGGAAGACAACGCACAAGGATTTCAATTGAATGCAACTACAAAAGGATTCCCACTGAACGCATCTACAAAAGAATTCCGAATGAACGCCTCTACAAGAAAGATCCCAAGTGAAAGCCAGCGTAAAAGGACTCCGAGCGAAAACCCCGGCGAACGGATTCCTATTGAAAGCCGCTGCAAGAGGATTCCGATTGAAAGCCTTTACAACAGGATTCTTATTGAAAGCATATACAGAAGGATTCCGATTGAAAGCCACCACGAAAGGATTCCCATTCGGATGCCTATTGAAAGCCAATATACAAGGATTCCGATTGAAAGCCGCCACAAAAAGATTCCGATTCAAAACCTTCACAAAAGGATTCCGGGCGAAGGAATCTACAAAAGGATTCCTATTGAAAGCCTCTACAACCTTCTCCTCCTCCACCTCCTCTTCCTCCTCCTCCCCCTTTCAGCGGAAGGCCATAGCTCTTGGGACAACCATTGGAAACAAAAAAACAGAAAAATAAAGAAACTGGAGTGCTGGAGGCGGAAACCTTAGAACAAAAACATGGGACCCACACTAAAAAAAAACCTTGCTACACCGGCAGCCCCGTCGAGCAGGATAATGGTCTAATCCATCACCGCTCGATCCGCCAATCTTCCCAACAAATGAAATGTGAAGTCCCTGTACCTGGCTTGGACACCAAAAAAAGTGTCCTCCATCCTCCTTCCTCCGCCACCTCCTCTTCCGCTTCCTCCTCCTCCTCCTCCTCCTCCTCCTCCTCCTACCCTTCCTCCTCCTCCTCCCCCTCCCCCCCTCTTTCTGGAAGAATGCAAGAAGGTTGGGAAAACCATTGGAAAATACATTAAACAAAAACAAAGAAACTCAAGTGCTGGAAGCGAAAACCTTTGGAAAACCATTGGGGAACCCCCCAAAAAAGTTTCACTGAGACTGTGGGGCTTCTCTTCGGGCTGATCCCTTCGGACGGTGCTCCCTGGAATATGTTTGTTGGTTTGTTTCTTTTTTTGGTGTTCTCAATGGTTTTCCTAAAGTTTCCGCTTCCAGCACTTCAATTTCACTGTTTTTTATCTTCCCGATGATTTTCCCACAGTGTGTGGTGTTTCCCACTGGCAGCATACGGAATGTATGTGTATCTCGCCCACGCGACGACGAGGACGACGAGGACGAGGATGACGAGGAAGGGGACGAGGACACGAGAGAGAGAGAAGAGAGCACAAGCGCACGCTCAAACAGTAAAGCACAACACCAGAGCACAACAGCACCCCCAAACAAATGAACCACAATCCCCACATCGTCCTGAAGCGTTCTAGGTGGACGGAAGTCCCTCCCGAACAAAAACTCGATTCCAGCAGGGGGGAATAGGCCAGGACCCACATATATATATATATATATATATACTAGAGCCATCGTGAGCGCTTCGCGCGCGCTCAGGTTCTAGCCCAGGCCGGGGGGGCGCTGGACGATCTTGGACAACGCTATCAAGCACAGGCGCGCGACGGCATCTGAGGAGTTTCTGGGGTGTTCCGCATGCTTCGCCAACTGGCTGTTGGAGGCACCTCTTGGGTGCCTCTTGGGGGGGCGGCTGAGGGTCCCTTGGGGGCATCGGTTCTGCAATCTGAAGCCGTCATTGGCCGTCTTGGCTGCGTGGAGGCCCGACTTGAGGCCACCTGAGGCCAGATTGAGGCAATCCGGAAGCCTCCCGGGGGCCTCCTGGAAGCAGTCTTGGGCTATTTTAAAGCCTCTTGGACGTCTCCTAAGGGCCTTTTAGGCCCTCGGGAAGCTTTTGGGGTCCTCGTCGGACCACTTGGGGGCCTCTTGCGGCCTCCTGTGGGCCTTGGGGGGGGACCGCTCTGCTGTTGGGTCGCGTTCCCCTTCTTGGGCCTCTCTTGGGGCTCTTGGGGCCCTCTCGGGCCGTCTTGGGCGCCTCAAGCACCGTCTTGGGGCCCTCGCGGGCCGTCTTGGGGCCCTCTTGGAGGCCTCTTCCTCTATATGTGACGGGTATTGGAAGCCCCTTGGGCCGTCTTGGAGCATCGGGGTGCCAAAACCCGTCAACGCCCAATCGTAAACCAATGAGTTGTGCTTCTTGGGGCCACCTTGGGAGATCTCTTGGAACCTCGCCGGCCCTCTTGGGAGTTTCTTGGGGGCCTCTTGGATCCGATTAAGGGCCTCTTGGGACTTCCCGAGAACCTCTCGGGGTAGAAAGCTCGGATTCTCGGTTCGTGTTTCCCTTCTTGGGCCTCTCTTGGGGCCGTCTTGGGGCCCTCTCGGGCCGTCTTGGGCGCCTCAGGCACCGCCTTGGGGCCCTCGTGGGCCGCTCAGGGCCCTCTTGGAAGCCTCTTCGGCTATCTTGGAGCTGTCTGGGAGGCCTCTTCATCCTCCTCGTCCCCCCCCCCTCCCCCTCCCCCTCCCGTCCTCCCCCTCCTCGCACCGTGGCCATTCCGCCGCCAGGGTACCTGGCACCTGCCCCTCGTCAGGATCGTGCCGCTGATCGCGTGGAGGCACCGTCTTTCGTTTGCAACCTGCCCGGTCTCGAGACGGAGCGCTGCGGCCGCAGTTTTCTGTCGCTCGGGGCACTCCGTGCGCATCAAAATCAAAGTCGTCTTCCGGGTCATGGCGATATTGGTCTGGGCGCAAGGGCCACTGTTACAAACCAGTGTTGCGTGTGC